GTCACCTGTATAAAGCGATCAGTTATCGTCTGATGAAAGTGTGGTGAATTACACTGTTCTGAATTTTCAGTCAATCATCAACGTAGAGCTTGGTACAAATGTACCGTGTTCCAACTTGTCGTACCACATTAATACGACGAGATGAACTAAACTACTTAACTATTTGTATATTATTACATTGAACGGTGTATTATTTTCATAACGTGAAGTATTTGTTTTATTTGTTGTCCTAGAAACTATCATTACGTATTTTAACTACGTGTAGCAGTAGTGGTAGTTCTTCAACAGGCCCATCTTCTGCTACTACAATGCTAAGTAAAGATAACGGTGCATCTAGTCACGGAAATGATATACAATTCAATGGCGTTACTGTTACTTATGAACTGCCGTATATTCCTAGTCAGAAATGCTGTTCTACTAATACTACTATAGACACTAACATTCAAGATGAAGTCGGACACGTGTTCTTCCAAGTATTTATTGCTCCATTCATGAGTATTTATGAAAAATCAATTTAGAAAACACCAGTAATTTTTTGCAGTTTTACGTACACTTGTAATTATAAAGAAAGCTCCCGTTTTTTCCAAAGAATCTGTTTTGTTAGCAAATTAGTCACTTAGATGTAGATTTTTTTGATAATCATTGTGAACGTGTGTTTACCCGAAATTTTTTCTGTATATTTCAAACGTTACTAGGTACTCTTCAAAAACAATCATGTCTCACTTTATGTGTATTATGTTGTTTCGGGCTTTGTTAAGTTTGTATGGGAGTAAGTTGGAAGAAAGCTAGGGGTGGCGAGATGGACATATGGCATCAGTCCCTGAAGTCATTGTTTATTAATCTGAACCATGTTTAGTGGGTGCTAACGAACCGCAATTGGTGATTGTAGGCGTTAGGTGACATGGCTTGGAGTGGGTTTCAGTGAAGCACGTGCAGTCATTCTTTGTCTTATTCTAGTTCCTGAATTACAATATTCTTTCATACATACCTTCCCATTTTGTCTTCCCAAACCATGTTATCGATCCCCAGTCTTTCTGATTATTATTGTTACTACATTATCCCTCCCCTCTTCCTGTTCATCCTTTTGCATTCAATCCATTGTGCTAGTGTGTATGGTAAGTTGGGGCAATGCATACGTTTTTGCCAGGTTATACTTCGATTATGATAATGATAACTATGTTATCAGGTGACAATTGAAGAAAGACTATCATTGATCACAAACCACACTGTGTGTATCATCAAATCACTAGTTTCAGTCATCTCTCATAACAACCAGTAGATCTGTAGTGAGATTAAAACTGCTTTATACTTTTATTTCTACGAACTAATTCTTTCTTCCTGTATTATATCGTTATACACAATCTTTCTTACCATTGAAGTAACTACTATGAACTTGGTGTTCATTTTGTGCTAATGAAGTGTGGCAACTTGGACCGATGCTTATATGTACCTGGTCCTATGTTGTAGCTAACTGACATACTTCCTACTTTTAATCAAGATGGAAAATTAGTTGGCATGGTAGTGAATCTTCATAAACTAAAGTCGTTGGGGTACGTTACGTTTTCACAACTACCGCCCACCTTGACAACCAATGCTTGCTAGTAGAGAAGTGGGTTGGAAGAAATCTAGAGGCAGTCAACCCAAAATATGGTATCAGTCTATGAAGTCATTAGCGTTTGGTTTGAGCCATGTTAATAACTGTAGTTTACCTATTTGAGGTTCATGTGATTGTCGTAACCAGTGGTTAGAGACCTTGGGTGACATGGTTCAGAATCGTCCACAAGTGCATGAATTCATTGCCTTATCTTAGTTCCTTAGTCTCAAAACCTTACTTTTTTTCTTTCTACACGATGTTTCCTATTATTGCTGATACCGTTGTTACTACTGCTCTGGGACTTACCTAGATACTTCTATCCCCCTGTACTAATGTGGTGTGGAAATGAGTCGAAGCATGTTTCGGGTTCAACTCTGCATATAACCGACTTTTAATTTCAATTTCGTTGCGTAGTTGATCGGGAAGCCTGATAGTCAGAACGCGCTAAGGAGTTGGGAGCATCAGCTGATTCTGGTAACTGTCAGAGGCTCAACTCATTCGAGTCACTGGCAACAAAAAGTCTGGTATAAGTGAAACAATCCGTGAAGCTAATGGGATATCAATCAATATCATCTAAAGATGCTTAGTTCAATGGCCAAAATTTTACAAGGAACAGTACGGCTTGTCTGCTACCCTGGTGACATCGATCGGACTGTCCTGCCCTCGATGGCTGATGACGACTGATCCACATAACGGGGCGGAAGTCCACAAGGAACTCCAACTCTTGAGACACCACAAATCATCAGGCCCAGATGGCTTGCCTCCGGTCCTTTTTAAAGGTGGTGGGGACCTAATGAAAGAAGTAGTAGATCCGTCTCCAGACTTCTGGTAATTAGCATTTTAGAATGGGTCGATATTTGCCCCTATCTTTAAGAAGGGTCCACGTTGTTTCTGCAACAACTATCAGGGAATAAGTCTACTACCGATCGGGTCCAAAATATTGGCTTCCGTCATACTCCGTAGATTGCTCAAAACCCGGCAAAGACTGACTCCCGAGGAAGAGACCAGTTTTCGTTCTGATAGGATGCAATGATCATATCTTCTCCCTCCTCCATCGTCATACTTATTACAGGTCAATAACCATGATGTTTGCCATTAGGGCCGCTTTCTGTTCGTTAGATAGGACTGTTCGCTGGGATTGTCCATTGAAGAAGAGTGTGGTTGACAAGATTACTAGCATCTTGAAAGACCTATATGCGAACACCTCGGGCCGAGTAAGGCCATACAATCACCTCTCTCCATAATTTCTTTCAAGCAATGGAGTTAAGCAGGGTCGCCCAATCTCACCATTCCTCAACTTTGTCATCGATGATGTTCTGAAAACAGTTCTGATGGATGCAGATAGTGGTGGCGTGGTTCTGTTGCTTAGAGAAAGACTTTGAGCTTGCAGATGATATTGTCTTATTGTGCGATAATACTCGATCCACACATTCCGCACTTGATCAATGTTCATAGGTATGGCATGTGCTTTGCACCTTCGAAGTGCAAAGTACCTTTACAAGACTGACAGGACCCCTGATCCTGCACTCACCCCGGGTAGTGAGCAGATAGAAGTAGTTTGGAAGTTCGTGTATCTAGGTAGCTGCACAGGTGCTGGTTGTGGCGTGGATAATGAGATCAATGGAAGTATGGTGAGAGCCAAGGCGGCTTATGCAAATCTGAACCATCTTTGGTGCCTTCGTGATGTCAGTCTGAGTGCAGAAGGTTGGATCTACAAAGCGTTTGTGAGAGCAGTTTTGCTCTATGCTTGTGAAACCTGGCCTCTCCGAGTTGAGGGTGTTAACCGGCTCTCCATGTTTGATAATCGTTGTCTCTGAGGGATTGCAGCAGTATATATGAATGGATGTTCGGATATTCATTTAAACACATTGATCACTGAATAATATCCCATGTCATATTTGTTTAGTTGTTTTAATATATGTTGAATTTTGTCGATCAAATAATGGTATGGTCATTAGTCTAGTTGGTTTTATATGTTTTGATTTTAGGAGGCTAAAGGTGATAAGCGGGAATTCCTAAAAACGAGTTTCGTATTAACTGGTTCTCATCACTAAATGACGATAGCTTATCAATATTTTTCTTACTTACAATTGATTGATGACTGAATAACAACCAATGTCATGTGCGTAGATCCCTCTTAGTGTTAAGTGAATTTTATCGACCTAGCTTCAATACAGGCAGTAATCAAAGTGGCTCGATATCGTGTGGACTATGCTGAGATGTAAGATGGTGATTAAATGTAGTCGATAGGGAAATCTGGACCTAGGTGTCGTGTTATTCAGTACTCATCAACAAGGTGTACCTGTAATTTCTTTAAAAACTGGTGCAACTTGATCGATAGAATCCCACCAGCACTAAGAAGGACATGACAGATATGATATTGTTTACTTCTGAGTGATCGACCAATTTTAAATACGACTCAGTCCTAGTGGTCACATTTCTAATTATAAAACTAGGTAACACATGATTGAGTTCATCGGATAGCGTCAGTCCCATCAACATTAGAGGTACACCTTGTACACAATAAAGCCAAAAAGTGACTGTGAACGTGGGAGACAATAATCAATAAACTGAACATGGCTTAAGAACAGTAAATCGTACAATAATAATATATAGGTCAAAATAAAGCTTATAACAAGGGGAATATAGATATACGTAATCTAGTTACTGAATATTTATACCATAAGAATGTATAAATAATATTGGTCCATTAATAGGTCTCAGACGTTACTCGTAATGTAATCTTGACTAGGATATAACACACCTTGCTAACGAGTACCAAATAAAACGAGACCTAGGTTCAGAGTTTTCTATCGACTACCTCCAATCACTAACTTATAGTTTTATCATTTCTAAAATGTGTTTTCTCTGCGTATCCCTCATAATGTGTTACTGTGATTTCATTTTGTTGTCTTTTTTGTTTAATTTCTTATATGACGCAATAAATAGTGTTTTTTTTTTGAAAAAAAAAGTTGTCACTATGTGCAATATCAATAGTTCCCTTTCAATACACAAAACTAAGCTGTTTCTTGTTCATACAATCAGTTAGAAAATATGAGAATGTTGAAATACTGGGTTACTAATTATCATTAACGAATGTGTAAATGTAATTCAACTAAATCTACATGCTTTGATAAACTCATCTTCAATAAAACCGTGGCCTTGTATTTATAAATTTAGACGTGTATTCTTCAATTGGCCTATTGATTTAAATGTAATTCACAAAACAAACTGATTTCTGGAACTGTCTCCTACGTAAAGGTTTGAATAGCAGACACCATCAAATGAACCAATCACATGTCATGTTAATCTTAATCCTTATTGGTTAATCATTGATTTGATAATTTTATTCGCACATAAGTGAAGAAAATAAATCAAGGTTTTAGCCTGAACTATTTCTATTGAAATGAGACGTGTTGTTATTCAATGTCAACACGATGACGATATTCCAATAATAATGGAAATAATCAATTCGGTAAGTGTAAACAGTTTTCAACATTATTTATGTGTTTAAGTTGAACTGTTAGATCCATCTATCTAAGAGGTAACATTGTAAAACAATCCGCTTATTTTAAAGTATAATATTATAATAAATTAACGTCAATTACAAATCTACTGAAATGTAATTAACCCTGGATAAAGTATCTGTTTCATCCTAGTAAGGGACACCTCCATAGTATTCACCCATTATCTCATGAGGCATTGGATTTGAAAACCTTTAGTTATCATTAAGCCACTGATTTGAAAGTAAATGACTTTGGATAAGTAATTCTATATTGTATGGAGTAATGAGTATATACTACAGTGAATTACCAAACAATGACTAAATAATTGTTTAATACTATCTAGTTATCAAACATTGTTCACCATAGATTCTGATAGTGATGAAGACAATTTTTCAAACGTTAAATACACATTGTTTTGTAAATAATATCAGTTAAGATTTCCTTATAGAAAATATAGTTTTATTTCAATATTTTGTAACTCACTAACTTGGGTACAAGGTTGTGTGCTCGTCTTCTAGCTTCTTATACTGAAATAAATGAGGCAAGATTCTAATTTGTGTTTTAATCATTGGAATTTATCAAACTTTATCAACTTTAACATAGAGTTATATATAGTAGCAGAAATTTCAATGAAAATCTGTTGAATGAATCATAAAATTACTCATTATTAATTGAGTAGGTTGTTTTGACAAAATTCATCCAAATTTAAAGTAGATCATAACACAAGCTGTTAATTATTCATGGATAATTTTGAATAGTTCACTTCTATCTAACATTTCTTTTGATAATGATAATATTATCAGAAGGAGTTTTGTGGAGATTTTAGAAATTTCACTGATTGAAATCATCAGTCAATTGAAGCTAGACCACCATGGAAAACCTGGAAGAACTGGACGGCCTGGAGTTCTAGTAAGAAGCCGTTACCAATGGAGTTCAACCAAGTCTGTTGTGAGATATCAACTCACTGAAGACAATGGTGTACGGTGGATTGGTTGAAGTTAGACATTAACACCGTCGGATGCCAGCTCAGTGGTCTAGTTGGTTAAGCGCCTGGCGCGAGACTGATAGGTCCTGGGTTCAAATCTCGCGGGGGGTGCGGGATCTTGGATGCGCGCTGCTAAGGTGTCCCATAATGGGACGAAACGGCCGTCCAGTTCTCCCAGGTTTTCCATGGTGGTCTAGCTTCGATTGACTCATGATTTCGATCAATGATAATATTGTCTAGAAAGAAACTGAAAATTCAATGAAACCAGTATCAAAAATGTAACAATGCTCCTTATCTTTCCAAGTTTTCCACTTAAAACTATATATCGATTAAATTACCATAAATATAGTTCCCTTACCTATCTTATTGATTCCCTAACAAAATCTATTCTAGTATAGTAAATCAAAATCTAAAAGAATGTTAAAATATTGATTACTTAATTATGCCTCTTATCCCTAGTGAAGGATCATAAACCGGTCACCAGTAAAATATATTGATTAGTTAGTTAACAAAAACAGAAATACAATATTTATTCTCATTTATTATAATTATTAGGTATATTTTAACTGTTGACTAAAGAAATATGTTTATTAATTGTTTAATCTATCTCATTCTTCATTATGAGTATTTATTACTTATTAGTTAAATATTGAATAGATTACTTTAAGCAAGCAATGATGAGGCATATATATGCCTTTTCTTCAATTAATAAAACTATCAAAATAATAATCAACACAGTAAATATTTGTTCATATACATTTTATTGTACAGTTTATTCATTTCTAAACGACTATCTAGTGCTTCCAGGTTTTTCATAGTGATGTAGCTTCAATAGATTCATGTATTCAACTATTGTATTGTTTCTCTTGCTGAATAGACTTTCTCAGGGTGATTTATATCATATAAAGTGATGATTAATTAACAAAAAAATAGTAGGGAGGATTGAAAGGTTATTTTGTCTGTTACATTGTATAGATAATTGAACATCGGACATTCAGATTCATTGTCGAATATGTATAACCTTTAAGTTATTGATTTAAAATTCATTAATCTGAAAACCACAATAAAACAATTCATATATATATATATATATATATATATATATATATATATATATATATATATATATATATATATACAATGTGTAATTGAATGGTTTAGAAAAAGATGTGGATGGTTGGGTTTATCAAATGTGTCTGATGTTAAACGGATATCATATCTTAATAGTTGAATTCATGAGTCGATCTAAGCTAGACTACCGTTGAAAACCTAAAAGCACTGGACAGTCGTTTCGTTCTAGTATAGGACTCCTCATCAGTGCGCATTCACGATCCCGCACGTGGGACTTGAACCCAGTATCATCGGCCTCACATGCGAGAGTTTAATCTCTAGACCACTGAGCCGGCATCCAACGGTGTTAATGTGTAATTTCAATCGATCCATGATCTTGCACAACCCTTCATCTATTATCTGAGATGGATACCTGTCTCTACTCGACATGGATTAGACTCCACTGATCACGGCTTCTTACTAGCATTTATTTTTTTTCATATCTTTTACTGTCTTTAGTTATCAACCAATTAGCTAGAAAAGTGACACTCATCTTTGTATCAGAAATATTCTTATAATGTAATTGCTCAGACTTATTATTTAGAATGAGTTCTAGTTTTGTAGTTTACCGTTACAATTACGTATGTTTTGAAACTAAATAAAGACGTTATTTGTAACTGCTCTTCTATGTCTTTTCTGTTCTTTCTCAATGTTTGCAAAAGTGGAAATTTACGTGCCCTATAAATCCACTGATAATCACAGTAATGAATTAAGTGACCTTATCATTAATAATTTAAGTGATCCGATAATATCATTTTATGAATCCCATTAATATACTTAGAGTATAGAGAAACATTTAACATTAAAATTTTGTATAATATATTTATTGTCATTTAATAACTAATAAATAAGAAGTCTATGGAAATGCTTGAAGGATTCAATTTGACTAGCTTATTAAATATACCATACATTAAGAGAGAAAAAATGTAATAATTGATAATGTTTCTTTTAAGTAAAAAAAGACGAAGATTAATTTACATCAATATTCATTCGCATTCTTTACAGAAACTTTTATTGATCAATATTGCATGGTTGACCTTCAGAAACATTTGTCTTAATACAAGACTAGTATCCATGGTAGAAATAGCGGTTAATTTAAAGCATAGTCGATGTATGCATTGATTCAATATATATATATATATATATATATATATATATATATATATATATATATATATATATATATATATATCCATTATTCATGAATCACAAAACAAAAAATCAAACTATTCATTTTAATTACTAGTATAGGGGTTGTGTAGATTATTAAGTTTTTGATTGAGATCATGAACCGATTGATGTTAGATCACCTTTGGAAACCTTGAAGCATTGGACGGTTGTTTCGTCCTATTGTGGAACTCCCCAGCGGTGCGCATCCACGATTCGGCTCGCGGGATTCGAACCCAGGGCCTTCGGTCTCGCGAGCGAATGCTTAACCTACTGGACCACTAAGCCAACATCCAATGGTGATAGTATCTAACATCAACCAATCCACGAAATTGCGCTACCATCTTCCATTGTACTGAGGTAGATACCTGTCTCTACCCGACATGGATTAGCTCCACTGGTCACGGCTTCTCACTAGAACTCCGAGAATTCCCTCACGAAGCTAGTTGCTAGTGAACACATGGTAATTACTAGTATAAGGGGTTGTGGAGGTGATTAAGTTTTTGATTGAGATCATTTTAACATTGATACTCAACAAGATATGATCACTAAAATTAAATTGATATAAATAAAAAGTGATTTAATTAATTTAAGATAATTGTTTGTTTATTAACCAATTACATCCTATTGTAATCATTGGTAATTATATACAGTAACTAATTAATATAAAAGAACTGTTTATGAAAAGAATGATGGTAATTTTCAATGTAAACTTGTAATCATCCAATTAGTGATTCATAATAAAATGCTGAGGAGTTTCACAATAGAACGGAACGGCCGTCCAGTGCTTCCAGGTTTTCCATGGTGGTCTAGCTTCAACTGACTCATGATCTCAACCATTGAAATTAAATATCAGTTGATGTATAGTAACTAAAATCAGTTATAATAAAATATAATTAATAGTGAAAATTAATTAATCATATTAAAGATTGGAAATATCCTTACTGATTTGTTATTTTTAGCAGGAGTTAATTTTAGAACTGATAAATTTGAAGTGTATGTGGTAGGGAGGTTTGTGGAATTCAAGGAATTTGTTTGGTAAAAAAAGGATTTGGTTTTATAGTTATTGAGATCGCTTCTCAATATGAGATTGAAACAAAACTGTAATTTTGGATTAGTGATTCTGAATTTGAATGACCTTGAAACAAAATCTAAGAACTAATATGAATTGTTATTTACCAGGAGATCGAGTAAAGTCGATGTGCAATCATGCTGGATTTGGATTATGTGCTAGTTTGACCTCATCAACTATATATATCTCTAATCTTTAGGGAATTGTTGCTTCATTTTGGAATCGAACATGCGTCACCTGGTCTTGCAGTTTGAGGTAATTCCATTATCTACTCGGACCATGACTGGCCTCCTGATTTTTTATTTGGAACATCAGATACCTTTATTTCAACCAATTTTGTGGAAGAAAAGTAGTTGCTATACAGCAAGAGTAACATCGTTGAATTGATCGCGGAATCACATATTTCAGAAATTTCTCAAACAATGATGACGCAATTGTTTTCAACAATTTAACGACAAAGTTAGAGGTAATATTAGTGCTAGGAAACCGTAATTGTCTCAATAATAATTCACTGAATTAAAGGAAATACAAACTGAGATATCATTGTTAACATGTAGTCGTGGAGATTGTTGAATTTTATTGAAACAGATCTAAGTCAGAGAACCAGTAAAATCCAGGAAGTGTCGGGCTCCTAT